ACGACGACGACGACGACGGCTACTGCTACTACTACCACTACCCCTTACCACAAGGCACATTATAATAATAATATGCTTAACTTGAGTTTTGTTTCTTTTCACCTTTCACCTGTGCAGGCCGACCTGGATTTCTGTTATAAACATCGGTTCCACAGAATGTGTGGTTTGCCTCCTTGCAGTAGGTCGTTGCCTTCCAAAAACGTAGCGCAGAGAAGTCCGACCGCGCACAGGCAGGTATGGCGGATAGACTTTTCAAGCGCCTTGCAGGAGCTGAAGAATCAAGGAGGCCTTCACGGCCTCATCATTGATCCGTACAACTGCATTGCCGCTATTCATACAATTAGCAGGCTTGCTCCATCATCGCTGCCAGTCCACTGCTTGACTTTTGTGTGGCCTATTGGGACGCATGATGGGGTGAGAATAGCGGCCTAGCGACTAGCGAATGGATATGGGGCGTCCAACATGTGAATGGTGCTCCCGTGCTTCCGTATGCCTACTACATGCTCAAAAAGTGCAATGCCCATGCAATTAGCCAGCACATAGTTATCTTGTTGTGTGAGTTGTACTGTGGGGTCGAGGTTCACGAGGGATGCGGGATTTTTCTCAAGCAAGCTAAGCTAGAATTGGAAACTTGGGTTCTTTTACAGATCTTGTGCGATCAACTTCCTTGTTGAAGAACCATCCGTCGCCTACAGGCAGCTCCACAGTCCACAGTCCTACAGCCTATGGTGAGTTCATGACGAGCTCAGCAGAAGCAATTGCTTGAAAACTTCATGTCGCATATTATCCGTAAGAGGTTTGGAAGGCGGGTTGCCGGGCTTTGTTTTTGACTACGCTACTGTGAATAATTCGACCGTGACCCCTATGCACTCGCAAAAGCTAGCATAATTTCCAGAGCTCAAGGAAGCTGGAACAGTCAAAGACTCAAAGACTGAGAACGCTGAAGCTATGATCCCAGACTCCTAAAGCCCCAGGGAGGCTACGACTACAAGCCGCATGACAAATCACCGCGGACCACTGTGAGGAATGCCATCCAGAATTTCCAAGGAGTGTTTTCCAAGTTCAAGCCTAATCAGGGATCCGAGCGCCGCTTGGGGGCGCGTGACAACTAAAGCCAGAATCAAATGGAAGTTCCTCAAAGCCATGCTTGCATAATCCTCTAACTTCCTTATCAGAGCAGTTTCGTGCTGAAATGTCCCCATGTTTCGAACCTACGGGATGATACCTGGGCAATCTCGTTTAGCTACCTCCCTCCAACCTTCTCATTCTCATTAGCTTGTTTATGGCGTGTCGCTCAAAGTCAAGACGCTAATAGGCGTGGATTCTAACAGGAGGTTCTTCCCTTTCATGTGTGTTCCTTGAGTTTCCTTTGTATATAAGAGCCCGACGATCCCAGATCTCTGTATGTCCATAGGATACTCAAGGATACTTCTGCGAGTCTTTCAAGCCTACGTCTTGTTATAGGGATGGAGTGGGTCCCTGCAACAGCAACTCTCTCCATATGTATACATGGATGCATGTTTACATACATTTGTATAAACATATATACATATGCGGACATGTTCGGGGAAGGCTTCAAGTGTTGGAGACGAGGCAAGGCCCTCGAACAACGATCGCGACACAACAATTGTGAGCCAGACAATGTCAAGACTGCAGACGCTTCTCTGCTGAAGTTCAGAAACTCGACCCTAAACTTTAAACCTTGCGGTCTCAGTCTACGTAGACCTCAAACGAGGCTAAGCGATAGAGCTTCATGCGGCAGGGGAGGTGGTCACGGTTCCTGTGGATACAGTATAGTTTGGGGCTGGGGTTCTGTTTCGGGCTCAATGTCTCCTGCTTTTAAGCCATAGTCGTGGGTTCCCTAACCCCCCCTACACTACCCGCACCGAAGGTTCCTCCCAGTTGAGTTTGTGCAGGGCAAATTCTGGTCAACGGGCGTAGTTTCACGGGACCTCAAGTCGAAACGACCCTCCTACTTTTGGGAGACCCACATGTATCTCCGCCGAGGCCCCCACACTCCGCAACAGCAGGCTTGCCCAAATTCTCTCCGCTGGACCAGGATGTTGGACCCTGTTTAATCTTGAGAACCCCCCCCCCACCGCCCCTAACAATAGGGCCTCATTGTAGGGAGCCGCTTCAATAAACCGGGTCCAACATTAGCCTGGACGCATGTCAATGTTCTGCCTGCGCCCAGGTTCGCAAAGAAGCACAGTACTCATGTGTGGACTCTTGGCTGTTGGGAAGAAAGTGTTGCTGCATTGTCATTAGTGAATCTAGTTGCAACAAGCTTAAGCTTTCTGTTTTCAATATGCAACACCCTTATACCCCCGATCAAGTGAACTACATGCTTCAAATTTCTCAACCGCTGAGAGATGTCTTCCATCAAATCCGAATTCCTGAGGATCGTTGTGCACCCAACCAAGCAGTCCCAATTGTCTGGCAACGCGCCCTCGATGTACGATTGCGCCGGCAGTGCTCACTGGAGCCGCGGCTGCTCAGGAGAAGTGAAATAAGAGACAGTCAAAGGAGAAGAAAACAAAGGATGAGATAGAAGCAAGGTATATATATATATATACATATATATATATATGTATAGATGGGAGTTTATAGGGTTGAGGGTTTTAGGTATGGTAACATCGAAGTTATAATAGCAGGCAGTTTCCTCGCATAGTTATTGGAATAACTATTATAGATACCATCAGAGTTTTGCGATGGACTTGCCTGATGCCTGGTTTCGGATAGACTCGGAAGTGTGAGCTCCCCTCGACGAGCTTGCTTGAAGACGGGTTCGTATGAGCTATAGTCTAAACTCCTTAAAAGGGAGTTATGTAGGGGAGTATTATAGGGAAGTTATTAAGAGGGATGCTAGGAGTTTAGTCTAGACATTAGCTCAGACAGTGCATGTTAGATCAAGTTCAAGAAGCTGCAATCGAATAAAGACAACCCCCATACCACCAGAGTCCTGCTGAGTATTGTTCACCTTACCGTCATTGTGTTCGTATCACTATTACCGTTACTGTGCCTGTTTAGTTCCTCTCTATATATACACACACTACATGTATTTTATATCAGTCATGCATGATCAGGATCTTGGGTGAGTGGCTTCAGCGTGTAGGGCTTCTGGCACTTGAAGCTCTATGATGAATTATATACAAGCAGCCTATTATAATATAGTAGTTTCCATTTTCTTTTCCATTATCCCCATCTAACCCATCATAATCCCTATATCGCCCCTATAATCCCTGTAGTTTCCATTTTCTTTTCCATCATTCCTATACAACCCCTATAAATCCCCATATAGCCCCTGTAAATCCCTATATAACCCCTATAAATCCCTATGCAGCCCCTATAAATCCCTATATAACCCTCATAAAGCCCAACATATTCCCATATAACCCCTTTAGGGATGAATGATTACGAGTCCCGTAGCTCTGGTTTAATCAGCCGCGGGTTTAGGTTTTTAGGGCTATGGGTTTAGGGTTATGGGTTATGGTTTAGGGTTAATGGTTTAGGGTTGAGTTACATTACGGTTACATATAGGCTCTCACATTGATCCTTTTGCAGACACCTACTGGGTGGGGCAGCTTTCAATGATGACACCTCAGACCCGAAACCCCTTAACACTAAATCCTACCTACCCCCCTGCCCAGGAGCGATTGAGACTCGAGGTATCAGTGGCAGGTTAGGACTTAGCTTTTTTTGATTACCCTAAATCCCTATCTTACCCC